GAATATTAATATATTATATAATTAGTTTTACATACTAAAATATCTTAAAATGATAAAAAATGTAAAACTATATCAGAAAGCCCTCATTTTTATAAAATAAAAACAAATTCAGAAAAGGAAATTTGTAAAAGTATTTCTAAAAATAATGTACATTGAAAACTAACTCATATTTTTAATATTTGAAATTATTATTTTCAAATTAAAAATTACCAAACACTAAATAAATAAACATTAAATGAGTCTATTAATAGGGTGAAACTAAAACCGTATATATACATGTATAGATAAATTTATTATTTATTTTATTGGTTATATAAATAAAACTAATTAACAATATGAGAAGAGAGAAAGATGCTCTTTATATATATATATAGATGTTTCCAGATAAATAATATAGTGAAAACTTGAGGTAGAAGCATGTATTATGGTAACTCAAGGAAATTAGGTCTCAACAATCTGAGTGACTGGGTCCCTGGAATTGTTTCAATATTTTCAGTATGGATCAAATAAGTAAAGGGGAAATGAAAATCCTAAATAAAAAAGGATGGTCTCTTTCGATACAAACTTGTATCACATAAAAGAAAAAAAAAACTGAAAACCTAATAAAGAAGCAAATAACTAAAAACAAGCTTAGAAATATGCATTCATAAACTAAAAAAAGAAAATAATAATAATAAATCTGAGTTGGGAAGATATCACTTAAGATTCCATACTTAAGAATCCATGATTTCACCTTTTTGCTTCCTTATATCATAAATCTGAGTGGAAAATATACCATTTTTATGATGTTGGGAATATGTCATAGATCTGAGTTCGAAAAGAACATCTTTGAGCCTTAAATCCATGCATTCACCAAAACCAAGACCAAGTTGAAGCCAATATTGAGATTTGAATCTGACTTCAGCTTAATTAGGAAAGTGATGCTCACTCCGGCCACATCTCAATATTTTCAATTTTCGGATTCTAATTTTTTTAATGTTAATTTTAAAAAAAATATACAAAAAATGTACAAACAAAATAAACCTAAATCATATTGAAAAGCCATAAACACACAAAAGAATCCTAAAAACCCTAAACCAAGAAACATACACCAATTATAAAACAAAATTTCATATAGCTAAAACATCAATTCCTAACCAAAACCCTAAAATGATTGCAGAAAAGCCATAAATTCAGATAGATCGTGGGTATAGGAGGATAATTCCTATTTCTTGCAAAATTTTGTGATTTGCGCACAAAATTTTGGATACGAATACTGGAATTTTACTTTTTTTTGGTGTTTAGTTGACATATTACCAAACAAAGAAGATATAATGAAAGGTCTATCTCCTCACTATTTGATGGGTTCAAACCGGGCCAAAAAATAGCATTTTGTTTTGCATCAGATAGAGAGTAAGATGCATAATGCTCTTGATAACAGCCACAGAAGAATGCATTGCCAAAACCATCATCAAAATGGCACAAGATTATCTCGGCAGCAACAATGCGAATCTTTTCTTACCAATCATTGGACAATTTGGTATTATATTACTTGTAAGTATATCCTTGTACAAAAATGTTGTTTTCGTTTACATCCTAGCTCGTACTCTTCATAATAGTGTACGTATATATAGAGTGAAAAAGATACAAAGTCAATTTCGTTTGATTAATTGGACGGTTCATATTTCATGCTACACACGATTCAACTGTTTCGTATTGTCTGTCCACGTGGAGCGCAGGTTGTGTCATTTGGATAAGGATAATGCATAGACTCGTGACCGTTAGCATATATCCGGTTAAACTTAAGGAATAAGACCAGTTCCATTAGAGTTTTATAACAGGTTTTGGGTGGGTTTCTAAACAATTTTCGGGTTAAAAAAAAAAAAGAAAAAAAGCCCCATCAGATCCACAATACATTTTCACTAGGATCTTTCCAGTTGCAAGGGTTTAGTTACACAAGGATGATCGATTAATTTGACATATATTAAGAGCTAGTGAATTAGCAATCTTAAAATATTCTCCTTGTCTATAAAATATTATAATGATTGCAAGAAAATTAAAAAATTTTAATCACAAAACTACTAATAAAAAAAACTTCTCCGTTTTCTAAAACACTATTCAAAAATCTCGAAGATCTGTCCCTCGAGAAGAATGTTCATACAAATTATAACACAACAAACAAACAAGTAACCAAAATATAAATTTGCTATACACAAAAAGTATTACACAACTTTTGTTTGGTTGTGTGTATGAACAGAGACAGATCCGAAAGAACACTCTTGTAAAACTCAAAACACAAACTGTTTCTCTCATTCAGAAGAGAATATATGGGATTTCAACTTGTTCCAAAGAAGCTTCTACGTCACTTCGCCATCGAGATATCAACCAATTATGTAATTTAATCTATCGACCAATTATGTTTCTTTTTCTTTGTTCACAGTCCAAACTAATACAAACATCAATGGTTGAAAGTCTTAAATTTGTAAATAATGAGATCTATTACGTTAGCAAAAAAAAAAAAGATGATCTATTACTCTGTATCTTCTCTTTCGTGTACATTCCAATTGAATGAAGTATCACGCTAAAAATGTTTAAACCAAGCAAAAGCTTGAAGCCATTCGAGGATACACGATAGTTTAATGTCACAGTTTTTGTTGTACAACAAATTTTCATAATTACTTTCTTGTTACATTTTTTGTTGTACAACATCTAACTTGGTCCCCAAGCCTTCAAGTTGGAGGAGCTTTTTAGGGCTGCCAGTATGAAATTTTGACACTAGGAACTGGAAACGTTTTGTGGAGGACGATCCATTGAATTTAAATCATTCCTGAGCATCATTTGCCTACAGCCTACAGGGACATGCATCAATGGGATTTTGTATTCCACTAAAAGGTGCTAAACGAACTTCAAAACAGAGGAATGTATTTTGAAGAAATTTTTGCTGCTGCCTTAAACGACGTTCATCAACACGAGTCGCTTGATTGTTTGGAACAGAGCAATCGTCATGCTTAAGTTTACAAGAAATATAAACTATAACAAGGTACATATAACGTATAATATATTGTATGTAATATGATCTAATAATAATTAAGATATTGTTTTCCATATTATCGAATAGTAAATATATATATATATATGTATATCTATAATGAACTTTGAAGCCCTAGATAGATTGCCTTTAAAACCCTAGACTAAGAGCATGTCAAGTCCATCTGGAACCAAAGGACAAACCATCTTAACACAAAATATGATTAGAGGAGAAAACTCAGATTCCATCCCGATTGATCTCGTCAACGAGATACTTTCAAGATTGCCTGCAAAGTCAATCGCGAGGTTTCATTGCGTGTCGAAGCTATGGAGCTCCATGCTTCTCCGTCCATATTTCACCGATTTATTCCTCACCAGGTCCTCTTCTCGTCCCCCGCGTCTCCTATTTGCAGTCCAACTAGACGGCGAAGAGTGGTGCTTTTTCACGTCGTCTCAGCCTCAGAATCCATATGAAGAGGAGTCTTCTTCTCTTGTAGTAACCGCTGATCGTCACATGAAGTTCCTTGGAGACAACTTGTGTCTAGAGAGTTGTGGTTATGCCTCAGGATGGATCTGTTTCTGTCGACGTACAATGATCTCAGAAGATGATAAGCGTACAGTGATATGTAACCCTAGCACGGGTCAGTACGTAAGCTTACCTATACCTAAAACGTGTGCATGTTGGAGAAGTTTTTTAGGGTTTGATCCCATTGGCAAACAATTCAAGGTATTGTCCATTCGCTGTCGTAATCATAGCTATGATGAAAAGGGATTCCAGTGTCAAATTTTGACACTAGGAACTGGAAATGATTCGTGGAGGAAGATCCATTGTCCCTTAAACCATTTTCCTCAGCATGATTTGCCTACAGGGATATGCATTAATGGGATTTTGTATTACTTAGCTCAATATATATTCTCTGACCAAACATATGAAAGGGGTTATCTGCTAGTTTGCTTTGATGTTAGATCTGAGAAATTCAAGTTTATATACAGAGATTTCATTTGTTATTTGTATCTTACTGAACTGGTCAACTACAAGGGTAATTTAGGCGTGATTACTCAGACGTATGATCCTCCTCCTGGTGCAAGGCCTTCCCTTAAGTTGTGTTTGTCCGTTTTAAAGGATGTCGAGAAACCTGAACCGGAATGGTCGGAATATATCTACCGTTTATCGGAGAATCAATTCCCTAAATGCGCTATTTACGATTTTTGGGTGTATCCAATCGTTGGTGTAACTGCTACAGGTGAAATTGTTATTTCTATGCAAGAAGCATCTAAGCCATTTTATGTTTTTTTTCTTCAATCCCGAAAGGAACACTCTCCTAAGTGTTGAAATCCAAGGTTTTGGAGCTGCTAACCATGGCTCTTCTGAGAAACGTTGGAGAAGTGTTAGAGTCTTTGTAGACTATGTAGAGGATCTCAAGTTTATTACTATGAACGACATCCAATGCTGCAACATCTAAAAACCCACCAGAACAGAAGCGTGAATACAAGAGCACATCATCTAAAGCTCACCTGCAATAAGAAGATGGTCGTAGGTTTGAGAGCATTAACAAATTTGATTCTCTGCGTCTTTTAGATGATGATGATTTTACCTGAGTGCTTCACTGGCTCCTTAAAGTCGTCTAAAAGCTCTGTTTAACATGTAAGTTGTATTCTCTTTGTGCATGACATATGTCAAAGCATAGGTAATGATTACACATAATAACATATATTTGCTCATGAATTAATCTTGAGTTACTAGGGCCGTTAGAGCCAAACCGGCAAGGACAAGTAAACTTGCTTTTATCGTACAAAGATTCTAAACAATCTCAAAGAAGTGTTGCTTGTAGTTCTTAACCTTAATAACTATAAGACATATTCATTTCAAGCGACATTATTATTGTGATGGATAATTAAAACATGAGACGATTATAATGGAGTATAGACGAAAAGCAAAAAAATTTGACTTAGACTAATTCCCAATGATACGTATCTCTATACATCTGTATTTGTTAACCAAAAAGTTATACATTTTACGGTCTATTTTCTTTTTTTTTTTTTTTAACAAGACCACAACCTGTTATATCCTCACTACCATGTAAAAATGAATCGGAGTTTAAAAGAAAGAAAAATTGTACATGAAAATGGGTTATTCACTTATTTGAGAACTGTCTCTTCTCTGTTATCTTCTATGTTGCCACTGAAAAGTTGTATTCAGATTCTCTTTCTCTTATTGTTCTTCTTCTCATCATTCTCATCAGTAATACTCCTTTTCCTCTGCTCACCTGTAAACACAAACATGAATTAAAACACTATATACTAACTCATGTTAGAATCTAAATGATAGAGCAAAAAAAAAGATATCGTACCTGCAGTATTAACATCTCCGGGAAGAGGAGGAATACCATTGAAAACAGCAACTGTGAGGTTATTCCCATTGGCAACAGCTTCTTGATGAATATTATCATCTCCGTGACCATTTCCATCGTCTCCAGACTCTCCACCATCATGTGTTCCATGATTTCCATTTCCATGATTCTCGAGGTCATCATCCCCACCATCGTTCCCGGCGTCATCATCAGAATCTTCAATCAAATCGTGAGTCTCTCCAGGGATCCATGAGACAATAGAATTGTGTAACGAGCCATGATTGTATTCTAGCGAGTTAGCAGACCACGCATTGATAAGAGCGATAAGATGATTGAGTCTTGAAGTGCTTAGCCTGTAGTGGATAGCTATGTACTGTTGTTCGGGGGGGTATGTCATTGAAGCCATCCATTGCTGATTTCAGATTCAAAATTGCCACACGAGAAAATCTGATCCACAAAACTTTTTTTTTTTCTGCGAAAAACTATTTGTACAAATGAAAACATAACCCTTGTTATCTTAACAGAAACACAAAACCATTTAGTATGCCTATTTCATAAACTCCCTATGTACATGACTATCATAACTTAAACCATATCTACGTACGACTACTACTACGCAAGTCACCAAAAGCTAAGAAGAAAGAATACTAGGATTGGATGTCTTAAGCGTGTGCATATCTTTAGTGATCACTACTAGAGAATTAGATTAGTAGATTACCAAAGCTAAGATCAAACAATCATCGGATTCTCGAGTCTAAAACTTGTGTGCCACTCAAAATCACAATCGAATTACAAGATGCAAACTGGTTTTCGGAAAATAAAAGATGGTTGAAAACTACAATCATTGGTGAAGTAATAATACAGACCAATACAAAGGCAGTAAGTTGATCCATATAGGTCAGTAATCATTTAAGTTTAGGTTATAGAAACTAAACTAACCTTTGTTCCAATAGGACCTTCAGGGAAGTCAATGTCAAGCAGCTTCTACTGCAAAAGTACAAGCGTAATAACAGTCATGAACCCTTCAAAGGAGAAGAGTATGAAACAAAATTGCAGAGAGATTAACAGAGACATGAGTAGAGACAGAATCCACACTAAAAGCAGTGAATTATTACACTGATATTACGGTAAAGCAGCAACGATCAACCTATAGTTTGGTAAAGCAGCTCCAATATTGTTTTCTTGTTCTCTTCAAAGATTTCACAAAACAGTTTTCTCAATATCTTTTGCCGAAACTTCAACTCCTGTGCCAATAACATAATGAAGCTATCATCTCCGAGTCTACCAAATACAACAATTTACAGACATCAAAGTGTCATGAGAAGAACAGAAACTTCTGGAAAATTACTTCAATTAAAAATAAAGATCAAGCTCAATTCTACAAATTCATATTCAGTCTTATAGAGGAAAAAACAGCGAGTTAGGAGTTTTAAGAGAATCAAGTCAATCATAAGAACACAATTTCTGCGGAATCGAATCGAACAAGAGTCATCGCGATTGATCTCTCAAGTTCTTTGTTCTCTCTCTCGAATGCGTAAACGAAGATACAGCAAAGAAAATAGGTACAAGATAAAGAAACCTTACCTGGAAGAATCGGAATCGGAAAGTATCGTCGGAGCAAAGCGAAATCGACCGACGGTTTCGGCGAGGAGAGAGGGGATTTTAATTTGCCGTTTTAACAAATGAGGGTAAATACGTCAATTCCATCTCTTTCCATTCAACAGTTAGAACGGAATTGTGAATCAAACCCTTCACTTCCAAATTATTAGCAAATTACCCTATTTTCAAAGAGATGATTTCAAAATGGTCCAAAAATGTGAAATCACACAAACTCATTAGTACTCTTGGCCACGGTATTGGACCAAGAAACTTAATTGAATCTATAGAGAATGTATTGAACTGAACATCTCCAGTAATTTGAGTTTTAATAAGATTTTAGATGATAATTTTTTAAAAAATGGTTATGATTTGATTTAAACCACATAAAACATGGAATTTGGGTCTTTTATAAGTAAGAAACTTTTTTTAATTTTTTGTTTTTGTTTTTGTTTTTGTTTTTTATTTTATAGAATGTTAAATTTTATTCAAAAAAAAAATAAACCTTTTCACAACTCTGTTTTTAACTTTGATCAATTTTAAGACATTAAGAACTCAAAAACAAAGGGATTCTTCTTATTGCAAACCAAGTGCATAAGCCATCCTCATATTTCCTGACACCATTCCTTTGCAAGATGGTAAGCCTGTTGCACATTGTGATGTCAATCTTCTTTGTTAGAAGCTCTTTAGGTGTCTGCTTTTCTCTATATCTGCGTCGATTCCTTTCATACCAAATAGTATGAATGGATGCTTGGAATATATATTAAACAAGAGTCTCATTTTTTCGCTGTAGCACATTGGTTAATTTCAAAACTCATGATATAAAGTTAAAGTCTCTTTTAAAATTATTAAATGTTAACTTACAATATTTTCAATAACAGTGGATTTTAAGAAACATTTACAAATCATATATCATTTTATGTTTTATGTGGTTTAAATCTTAAACTTTTTAAAATCCTATATCATATGATTTGTAAAATGTTTACAAAACTTTTTTAAATCCTATGTTTGAATAACATAAATTTTCTCATTTTAATTCAAATCGCTACAAAGTTCAATACATTCTTCTGAAAGAATTCAGTTGAAGATATAGAATTTCACATATTTTAAGAAGTCTGATGTGAATGGATATTATCCTTCCAAATTATAATCACAAATACATACGGTCACCAATTTATAAAGAGTATTTTAAGGTTTTGTTTTTGTTTCACAAAGAAAGAGTATTATTTTATGTTTTTAATGCATAATTTTGAACAAAAATTTAATTTTAACTTTATGTTTGGTGTTCATTTTCTGTATTTTTATGGTTTTTTAAAAACTTTTTAAGTGCACTCTAATTTTTGAGGTCTTACGAATGATTCAACGTCAAATAAAAAAAAGTTATTGTTTAGTGTATTACAGTAATAAGAGAAAGAACAATTGTTCAATGGATTAATAAGACTAATAAACCGATGTATGTATACTTTTTTAGCTCCACCACTTATCATCGGCTTAATTTTAGTTCCAACTTACTCCACCATGTTCTCATAGTTAAATTCACACTACTTAGGCATGTTACTAATCATCTAGTTTAAATATGGGTTAGTGAATTTCTCTAGTTTAGATCAGTCATTTGTTTCATTTTTTTCTGTCAACATTACATATTGTAATATATGGCATTATATAAATAAGAAAAAAAAACAAAAAAAATCAGAGAATAAATACTAAAAATAACTTTGAACTGCTCGAACCTAGACAAAAGAGGAGACCGAGAGAGAGAAGAACAAGAATAAAAAATCGAATCTTTGAAAGCTCGAAAGAAAGAAAGAAAGAAAGAAGAAGACGCAAAGTTCTTCAATGGAGCCACCTCCTGAAAGATCCAAACGCCTCCATAACTTCACCTTACCTTATCTCCGTTGGGGTCAACAGAGATTCCTCAGATGCGTCAATCTTCCTTCACATTCACATCAACGATCTCCTCATTTTCCTTCTTCTTCTTCTTCTCCTTCTCCGAACAGATCCATCTCCGTCGCTGGAGTTTCGAATAAGAAGCTTGAAGTCGTGGCGGCGGCTCGGCCGTGGAATCTGAGGACGAGAAGAGCTGCGTGTAGTGAACCAGGAGAAGATTCGCCGGAGAAGATCGTCGGAAATGAAATCGGTGACGAATTGGAAAAGGATGAGAAACTGAGATTCTCCGTTTCGTTGTTGAGAAAAGAAATTGAAGATGATTTCTCCACCATGATTGGGAAAAGACCTCCGAGGAGACCAAAGAAGAGACCAAGGATTGTTCAGAAGAAATTGAATGTAAGTTTTTTGGGTTTGCTGAGAAATTCAAATCAAATCGATGGTTACTTAATTTTCTGGAAAATTTTGCTTGCAGACGATTTTTCCTGGATTGTGGTTGTCTGAAGAAGTAACAATGGATTCATATAATGTCCCTGAAGCTCTGGAAACGTGAAAAGGTGTTTACTTTCTTAGCAACAAAAGAAATGTATCAACTTTGTTTCTCTGTTCATTTCATTGTAAACAGAGGTAAATGTAGCTATGTCTCGGATCCGCGAAGAAACCCCAAATTTCTGGTTTCTGTTACTTGTTGTTTGTAAAAGCGGATACTCATTCATAAATGTTTAGTTTAGAAGATGGTATCATTGTGTATCTGTAATTCTCCAGCTGTTTGTTTTTTTAAAATGCAGTTGCTTCAGTGTCTCTATGTAACTTTTCTTTCTTTTTGCATCCAGAAAATAAAAAAGATTTCTTGAATCTTGTCCATATTCTCTATTGTTTCCATTGTGGGTATATTAACGGCTAAGGTATCTTAACACTAAAACTTTGTGTTCTTGAGTATATTTCATGGCTCTGTGCTTTCATTTCAAGAATGTGCTACTCGTTTCAGTTTCACCAATGGGTACATTGGGAAATGTCTGTTGATGGCTGGACAAGCTTCACTGTACTAACACCTCACATGTCTGAGGTTTAAGTGGTTTCTTTCTCTCAAGATTACTAGATTATGTATCAGTGAACTTTATCCGCCTGCATTTTGAATAGAAACAAAACTATGCTGATGTTGTTTAGAAGCTTCTTATTCTTGGACTTGCATCTTTGTGGTTTCCTGATGCATTCTTGTGTGTTATCTTGGCTCTGCTTACCAGATATCATATGTTGTTTGATGATGGCTTGACAGATATCAGACAAGAATCCATGTCGGATTTTCTCAAATCACCTAAGGTTACACAATCCAGGTTCATAGATGCCTGAACAAAAAACATCAACAAAAGCCTCGCAATTTTGTAGAACTTATCTACATTACTTCTTTGAGGTGAAGTTATTCAAGTGATTAAGTCAAGAACAAACTCTGTTTATAAAGAATAACTCTTTTTATTATGTTTAGAAAATCTCTCAAAACTAAACACCAAAGTATGTATCTCTCATTGATGCAACTTCATCAATAACTTACATATATATAGTGTTAGGACAACTTCCCTAAACACCTTTTCCTTTTTCTATTAGAACTAGATAACTCCTAATCTAATAAGGAAATATTCCAAAACCTTATCTAATTAACTTAACCGACTTGTTAAGCAATATGGGCTTTGGCCTTAATGTCGATGCTTACTTAACATTCTCCCTCTTAAGCTTCGACTTGATCTTGGACATGTCTTGAACTCCTATTAAACTTCTCATTTCGTTGAACTTGATCTTCGCCAGAGCCTTAGTAAGAATGTCGGCCTTCTGCTCAACTCCCAGCACATGCTCCACATCGACTAACTCCTTCTCAATGCACTCTCGTATAAAATGGTAGCGTTTATGAATATGCTTGCTCTTACCATGAAATACTGGGTTCTTGGTGAGTGCCATTGCTGACTTGTTGTCGACCTTGATGACAATATGCTCAGTCTTCCACCCTGTGATCTCGCTCAAAAGTTCTTGAAGCCAAATAGCTTGTTTAGCCGCCTCTGTTGCTGCCATGAACTCAGCTTCGCACGAAGACAGAGCCACTGTGTCCTGCTTCTGCGAACACCAAGTGATTGGTGGGGAACCAAAGTAGAAAATATGTCCGGTGGTGCTTCTTCCATCATCCGGATCCACATTGTGACTGCTGTCACTAAAACCAACGATCTTCTTTGTTCCTCCATGACAGAACTTCAAGCCAAACGTGACTGTCCCTTTAAGATACCGTAGAATGTGCTTCATGATGTTGCCATGCGACTTGCGAGGACTCTGCATATACCTGCTAGCAACTCCAACAGAAAAAGCCAAGTCTGGTCGCGTGTGTAACAGATACCTTAAGCACCCTACATTCCTTCTATAACACGTAGGATCGATCTCTTCTTCTTCTTGAGCCTTTGAAACCTTTAATCCGAATTCCATGGGTATTAAAGTCGGATTGCAGGTCTCTAAGCCCGCCTCTGCTAAGATCCTTCGTGCATAGCCTTCTTGCTTGATTTCGATTCTATCCTTCCCTTGATGAACCTCGATGCCGAGGTAATAAGTCAGCATTCCAAGGTCTGACATCTCGAACTTAGTTGCCATTCCTGTCTTGAATTCACTTATAACCTTCAGAGTGTTGCCTGTGACAAACAAATCATCCACATATATAGCAACAATCAATAATGATCCTCCCTCTTCTCTGCGATACACTGAACTTTCCTTGGAGCATCTTATGAACTTCATTCCTTTCAGGATTTGATCTAACTTCGTGTTCCAAGCTCGAGGAGCTTGCCTTAGACCGTATAAAGCTTTTGAAAGCTTGTATACCTTCTGTTCTTGCCCTTTCATCTCAAATCCTTCAGGCTGTTCAACATAGACGTCTTCTTTTAATTCTCCATGTAAGAATGCTGTCTTCACGTCTAAGTAATGAATCTCCCATCCATGTGATGCTGCCAATGCTATCAACAGTCTTATGGTTTCTAATCTTGCAACTGGTGCAAATACCTCATCAAAATCGATGCCTGATTCTTGTACATATCCTTTAGCCACAAGTCTCGCCTTATACTTGTTGATAGTACCATCTGCATTCTTCTTGATCTTAAAAACCCACTTGAGACCAATGATCTTTGCCTCCCTTGGTTTGTCGATTAAAAACCATGTCTTGTTTTTGTTGATAGACTCTATCTCCTCTCTACATGCTTGCCTCCACTTTAATGAACCTTTCGCGTCCTTAAAGTTCCTTGGCTCATCATCTATTGAGAGTAGCAGTCTCTCACACTCAATCGCTGCTTGTAAGACAAAGTCATCCAGATACCTGGCTTGCGTATCGGACGAGATGATCTTCGAAGCGGCTGCTCTGTATCAGCTTCGTTAGGTGGATCTTCTTCTGCATTATGATCTGCTTCAGGTTCGTTGGTGTCGCTCGACACCGCTGATGGTGTCGCTCGACACTCTTGTTCATTAGTGTCGCTCGACACTGCTGTTGGTGTCGCTTGACGCTCTTCAATTCCTTCACCTTCAGCATCATAACCGATTACTGCAGGTCCTTCTCCTGCATCAATAACTTCACCCCATCTCATCTGAAACATCCCTGGGTCCCTTCCTGATCCATCTCTTGGCTTGTTCCAGTTGCAGCTTGCCTTTTCATCGAAAACCACATCTCGGCTCACTACAATTCTCCTTGTCTCTGGATTATAGAGTCTGTACGCCTTAGATCCTGGCTCAATCCCAAGGTGTACGAGCATCTGTGACCTATCATCCAACTTCTTAAGATTTGCAGCTTCCACCTTTGAGTATGCAAGACACCCAAATACTCGTAGATGCCCTAAACTTGGTTTCTTCTCTCGCAAGCATTCATAAGGAGTCATGTTCTTAAGAGCTCTTGTAGGTACTCTGTTTATTACATATGTGGCGTGTCGAACTGCTTCTCCCCACAAGTAGTTAGGTACCTTCATAGCCTTAAGACTGCTCCTAGTCATCTCCATTAGGGTTCGGTTTCTCCTCTCTACAACACCGTTTTGTTGTGGTGTGTAGGGAGCTGTGAGATGCCTCTTGATCCCCTTTGATTCGCAGAACTCATAGAACTCCCTTGAGGTAAACTCTCCTCCTCTGTCTGTTCTAAGAGTCAATACTGCTCTTCCAAGCTCCTTTTCAACTAGCTCCTTGAACACCTTGAACTTCCCAAACGCCTCACTCTTCTCCTTTAACAAGATCGACCACATGTATCTTGTAAAGTCATCTATGATAACAAATATGTATTTGTTACCTGCGATGGTTGGTGGCAAAATCGGACCACACAGATCTGCGTGTAGAAGTTTCATTGATCTTGAAGCTCTGAACATTGTTGTCTTAGGGAAACCTTGTCGAGTCTGTTTTCCGACTAAACATGACTCACACAATCCCTTTTCATCTCGAATCTGGTAGATCATAGGCCATCTCCTGTTGTGACATAGCTTTCATGGTCTTAAAGCTTATATGTCCCAACCTTGCATGCCATCTCCAAGTCTCATCCTCTATCCTTGTGTTTAGACATATCGGCTTTCCAATCTTCAGGTTGACTTTGTAAAGTCTGTTGGGCGACCGTATGACCTTCACCAAGAGTCTTCCACTTGGGTCATGGAGAGTCAAGTAATCCTGCCTCATTCTGACATCACATCCGGCTTCAGTAGCTTGCCCCAGACTCAGAATATTGCTCTTCAGTTCGGGTATATAGTAGATATTTGATACGAGTTTCTGCTCATCTGTTTTGCTTTGAAACAGAATCGATCCTTTTCCAGCTATTCCCACGCACGAGCCATCTCCAAACTTCACTTTGCCCCTTATGTTTTCGTTGAGCTCAGAGAAGAATGCCTTGTTGCCCGTCATGTGATTACTTGCTCCATTATCTAGATACCAAAGTCCTTCACCTCCTTTGTTTTCATAATTCTTTGGTATTAGATTCTCCTCATTCAAAAACACCAGCTCATGCATATAAAGTGCTTCATCAGCTTTTTCGGTCTCCACTTTATTTGCCTCCTGTGTCTTTTGTGGTCGATCAGGACAGGAAGATGCAAAGTGTCCAGCTTTATCACATCGATAACAAATCACCTTGGACCGATCCTTCTTGTCTTTTGGTTGGTTCTGATTTGTTGATCGATCTTGTGAGCTAGACCCTCCTCTGCCTCGTCCTCTGTTTCCTCTGCCTCCTCTGCCACGTCCTCTCCTTCTCGAACTGGAACTACTTTGCTCCGAGTTTGCGTATAACAGCTTCCCTTGCGTATCTCCTTGATTCTCCTCATCGCGAATCCTTTCCTCATACGCCTTAAGCCTTCCTACTATATCTTTGTAACTCGTCGTCTTTAGATCCAACACTTGCTCGAGAGAGGCGATGATGTGAATGAACTTGCTCCTTGGCAAACTGTTGAGAAACTTCGTCACAAGCTTTGATTCATCGATGGTTTGCCCTAGAGAAGCCGATTTTGAGGCTAGCTCAGATAACTTCCCTGCGAAGTCATCTATCTTGTCTGACTCGTTCATCTTGATCCTCTCGAAATCGGACATTAGGGTTTGAAGCCTTGCTTCCTTGACACGATCGGCTCCTAGGTTGCGTGATTTGATCACATCCCATATCCCTTTAGGAGATCCTTGTTCGCCGACTTGCAGAATAAGAACTTTCGGTTTGATTGAAAGAGAAGTCCTGTTGCGATATCGTTCTTGTTGGAATCTGTTGACCAGGTTCGATCGTCTCCCACACCTTATGGATTTGCAGTAGAACTCTCATCCTCATAGCCCACACCGTGTAATTTTTCGCGGTTAACATAGGGCACTGGATCACAGAAGGAACGCTTTCCTTCGCTAGGGTTAGGGTTTGCAACGATATCTCCCATGCTTGGATATATCGCAGGTCTCAAGCTTTGCCTTAAGCTCTGATACCAATTCAAGTGATTAAGTCAAGAACAAACTCTGTTTATAAAGAATAACTCTCTTTATTATGTTTAGAAAATCTCTCAAAACTAAACACCAAAGTATGTATCTCTCATTGATGCAACTTCATCAATGACTTACATATATATAGTAAGACAACTTCCCTAAACACCTTTTTCCTTTTTCTATTAGAACTAGATAACTACTAATCTAATAAGGAAATATTCCAAAACCTTATCTAATTAACTTAACCGACTTGTTAAGCAATATGGGCTTTGACCTTAATGTCGATGCTTACTCAACAGTTACAGTTATTGCTTCTTCTTCTTTTTTCTCAAGATTTAGTAACGGTAACGGTAACATACTTATTCAAACCCTGTGAAAAATACATTTAGATATTATGATATATATAAGCAACAATTGCTTTCTCTAGACTAGTAATGAGTGGCACACCACAATCTTTAGACAGATTACGCCTTCCATTATTTTATTCCAAACTTCAACTTTCTTCTCACCAACTTATGACTTTTATTCGAAACTTCAACTTCCATTGTTCTGAAAAGCAAAGTTTGAGATCATTTTTCACTCACTTGATTTTTTTTCTTTCTTTCCCTCCAAATTATGATCTGCACGGAGTCAAGTCACCAGAGGATTTCATTCTCGAGTGATCTTGGCCAATCCGATAAAGTACCAACACCAGTAATAGAATCATCAGGCCTTATACGAAGAGACGAAACTCTTCTTGATTCATCAAACTCTTTCGAGTTCCATATCTCAAACAACTTTGATCCTGGAGACTCTTCACCAGCCGATGAGATCTTCGCAGACGGTATGATCCTTCCTTTCCACGTAACCGCAGCTTCCACAGCTCCAAAACGTCTCTACAAGTACGAGCTCCCTCCCATTACCTCCTCTCTTTCTCCATCTCCTCTCCCTCCACAGCCTTTACCAACAAAACACATCGAGAAGGAAACCAGCGGTGCAAACTCGGACTCAGAAGCAGAGAAGTCATCAAAGTCGTTTTGGAGTTTCAAGAGAAGCTCGAGCCTTAACTGTGATATAAAGAAGAGTTTGATATGTTCGTTTCCACGGCTAACGAGAAGCAACTCAACAGGTTCGGTTACTAATTCTAAGAGAGCAATGCTGAGAGATGTTAACAGCCATAGGCCTTCTTCTTCTGCTACTTCTTCGTCTATCTGTTGCAATGCGTATCAGTTTAGGCCACAGAAGAACGCAGGAAAGAAAGGTGAAGGAGGAGGAAGCTTTTCGGTCATTCCAGTCTTTAATGGTCCATCTACGTTTGGGTTGGGATCTATTTTACGACATTCTAAAGATAAGACGAAGAAGAAGAAGAACAAGAAGTAGATGGTCACAGAGATTCAGCGAGTTTCGATAAATATTTTTTCCTCTTTTGATTGTGTCTACAAATTGTTGGGTGTTTTACGTTCTTTTTTAGTAAACATGTTTTTGGTGTTACTACCAAACTTTTTAGGTTGTTTCAATATTTCGAATCGGACACAACCTTAAAAACAGACTAAAGCAATCAGACTAAAGCAATCAGACTAAAGTGCTTATGTCTATCTGATAGAAGCTAATCTTTATGGCAATCAATTACCAAGTATTGTTGTTGACATAAAAAGACACTAATTTTCAACAAACAGACAAGTAAGATGTGGGTAACACCAATCTCATACAAAATCTATATACATATCGAAAATTTTAAAGCTGATTTTGATATACACAATAACATAGAATTGTATTAACGAAATAAGGTGTGACCAAAAAAAAAAAAGGGGTGACCAACATTAAAACTCTGTTTTGAAAAGCCAAGTCTAACCTGACCCATTCCACTTATTTAAGCTATTTAACAGTTAAATGATTAACATAACAATTTTCTGTGTTTTGAGAAATTTGACAAGACATGTCCACCATTTTCATCATCAGACGAATTACAATAAATTTTGCAATCAAAATACAGAAACGAATTTTCTTGCTATTGAATTCTTTTTCCTCACTTTTACATGTGGATTGTACACGAACTTACGTAGATCGTATTAAAATCGGATATAAACAGATACGAAATTGTTACAATCGTGAACACAGATGTTTTTTACAGAACATAACCTCACATAAGAAGGCGCAAGTGATGCTATCGGAGATCAATGACATCAAACCTGAGATTAGGATTCATGTAAACATCCGTACACGTATTGTAAATCGGTCCTCCGTCCGCCGGCGAACTGTGAGCGTGAAACCCACGCTGGTCACAATTCCTTATCACCGTCATTCCTCCCGGCGTAGTCAGCCGGAATATTCCGTGATTCCTATACAAGAACAAAAAAACATAAACATTTTATGGTTTCTTGAATCATTTCATTTTGGAACAAAGGAAATTTTTGGTCTTATTACCTTGAAGAGTCTTGCGGCGCCATAACGATTGCCACAGCTTCCGGTAACATAATCTGAAAAACGTTGTAATTACGGGTTTAGGTAGGAGGCAAAGAGGGTATATGCATATAATGTTTCGTTATTTTAAAAAGATTTAGAACGATTTTTCCGGTACCTGGTATGAATAGTGGGTGTGAACATCAATGGATGACATGAAACAAGACTGTGTCGGATGCGTCTGGAGAAATGGAGACAGTGATTAACGAGTCAGTAAAGAGACTCACGCGAACAATAAACTTGAGAAATATTGATACATTAACCAAAGCATAACTAAAGCAGTTAAAGGTAAAGAAAGAGCTATAAAATCATATGTACTCACATGAATCCAACCAAGTGGGAAAAGGGATTGCTTGTCCTGTACTTCAAATATCTCCTCTTCATTTGTAGCCTGACACTGTAGATAAAGAGAGAGAGAAATAAGTGAATGTGTATTAAAGAAGCATAAGTTGAAATACCAAAACAAGGGCTTACAGAGTCAGAGGTTGATTCCTGCTTTGGTATGATCAGAGCTGTAATATAAAATTTTCTATTTTTCTGCACGCAAGCGATTCACAAATCGTTATTACTGATCCGTTTCATGGAAAAGGTCAAAATTGCATTTTCCAAATTTGAAAAATAGAATGCTATATAAAATGACTCACTAGTGAGCCGGCAAGAATACCACACGTCTCTAAATTCCTCTTAGTGTTTGACTTGGCAAGCCTCATGAATGTATCCATCATTGTTGTTGCCTGCAAATGAAGGTCATTATCAAAAACATGAAGACAATTGGGTAATAGTACATAGAGCCAGTGGTTGTTTGCAAATTTTCTTCTCAATCTTATCTACAACGAGCCAGTGGGTTTTAAGAAAATGTACCAATAGAATTAGCAACTAGACCTATGGTAAAGCCAAGAAAAAATAAATAATGATGTGTGTTGAGATCCCGAGGTTAGACAGACCTTCTAGTGTGACATAGGACAAGCTATAGAATAAGGTAAAGCCTTCACAAGAAATTAGCAATCAATGCAACCCAAAATCATTTTTTCTCTCCAATATTTATGTGAGCTTTGACATCAGAATGGCTAAGAGAGGAGTGATATAGAATACTTACAATGTGGAGTTCAAGAGGAGACTCTGACCGTAGAGACTCATCTGGCAAAGGGTTTTCTAACTTACATTCTGTTTCTCTAGTTTCAGGACATAAAGCTGGAACCAAGTCTTGAACTTCTGCAAGCACCGGAGGTGGTGAAGGTTGCCTAATGATATTATTATCATTAACTCTCTCTGGTTCTTCGAAAGAAATCATGGAAGAAAGCTCTTCAGTGTAATTTTTCGAGATATTTTCACTTGAAGTAGCATTTGATTCTACAATTGGCCTCTCCGGTTCATTGTTACTGCCGTTTGTTATCATTGGTTTGCTATCCAAATGTTGTTGGAAGCTGTTTCAGGTAGAAAACATTAATAGGCAAGATGAACACAAAGGAGTGACGTTGCCAGGAGTTGAAACTTGGAGGGGTAGGAAAATGTAAGTAATAAAACAAGTCTCTTGGTATGCAGAATGGAAATGTACTATTTGCTTTAAAATCAGCTAAATGGTCTAACCTTGTGATATCAACTGGCGAAAAATCTATATTACTTGGATATTGAACCTGGATAATACCAAAATAGTTCATCAATTTGGTGTGAAGAATTAGATAAAAGAAAAAGAAGCATGCAACAAAATACCTTTATATCATTCTTTGGAGGCTGCCACTGTGCGCGGAGTCCACCTGGACCCAAGATAGAGTGCTTGGAAAGGGTTTCTTGTGTTGGTCGGATTAAGTTGACTGACCTACATCGTGCAATTAGCAAAATCTATAAGAGAGGACCATAAGACCAGAATATAGTGAAAGCTATACAACAAAGATCTAACACTTGAGGCATACATCTTTCTGAAACGCTCTTCAAGTGGTGCAGCGTTCAAGAATTGCTGACCCCTGGAACCCATGTAGCTAAAATTATGTCCAGCAGGATTTATTACCTATGCCGAACAAGAGAAACATAGAAACGAGCAGGGAATGTTTATCTACCGCAGCTTATAATTTAGTATCATAAATGTCGTCTTTTTACTAACTGAAACTAAAAGTTTCGGAATGAAACAAAGCATAATGATTGAAAATATGTATGCATGGCATATGGGACTAACAAAAGTAAAGCATTAAGCACACCTTTGCATGGTCATAGTTACTTAATGATGGTTTTACGGCCGAAGACAAGCGTGGGAAACCATTTGCTGGATGAGCTTGCAGGTTATATCGAGGTATGGGCTTGGGATTCAGTTCGTCGATCCTTTGCTGTACAACTGGTTTCAACTTCTCCAGCTCACTCAAGACATCCAATAGTCTCTAGACAGAATAAAAGCTCACATCAAACTACTTGATTGATAGAAAAAGCTTTGACACGGGATCACAAGGATATATATCCATTACCATTCTCAAATACTCTTTGTTGCTTTTAAGAGCTGTTCTGTAATCTCGATGGGAGGGTATAGTCTCGAGAGCCAGGCTAGAGAAAAAAAAAATGTTAGTAGATTACGAAAATGAAACAAAAAAAACAGGTATTAGGATCTTTCTCTCTATACAAAGTGTGTCAATTTTGAGCTTCCTTTCATTCGGATGCATAATCCTCACCTCGAAAAACGCAGAAGCATGACATATAAATCAATTATATTCTTCTCTGCCCGAAAAATGTTGGCCTACAAAACGTTGATGGGTATGATTAGGAACTTGAGAACAAATGAAAATTTTATACGAGCTGAATTTACCATAAAAGGAATCACTCTCAGAGAAACAACTAAAAATATCAAGCTAAAGGCATCTAAAATCAGACTGAAAGTCTGTTTAAACAAGATACAGTCCAGAAACCATAGTGTAGCGAATCATCTAAGAACAACGCTCGAAAAAATAGCATCTGACATACAAAAAATCCACTGAGAGTATACAAGCATGAATGTGAACTAACAATGTATTCCTCAACCAGTTTCTCTAATCATATGCATACTTCTAATCGAAGCGGACAGCTCAAACAGAACTCGACAAAGCAACTATAATTACAGAACTAGCCAAAGTACAACAAACCGAAAAACACATGCTAAATACACAGACACGAGAATCAAGAGCACCTCAACAACAATCAATAGTTTAAGTGTGTAAAAATGGATTGGAAATACACTAAAACATAATGGCGATTTTCAAAAATTCCATCTGTTTACCTAAACTTCTTCGCATCAAAGAGAGAAAGAACAAGCTGGAGAGCATCAATCTCAATAATCAGGTAAAAAACAAAAAAAAAGGAAGAAAAAAACCCCCCAAAATAAAGACACATCGATAGAGTAACCTTAAATCAAAATCAAAGTCGAGTATGAAGACGAAAACCTGTTTGAGGATATTATCTGCGATCCTGAAGTAAAATCTGAGAGAAATACGATTGTCTACGCCTATTCTCCGAGCACTAGTAGCGATATCGATGATCTCAGAAGACGACCCCATAGTTGCTCCGGCCAGAGAAATAAAAGCAATCTTCCTTGCCGCTTTTTCCGTAATATACACTTTGAGACTAAAGAAACAGCATAAAGTTGACGTTGAGGAAGCAGATCTCGAGAGCTCTGGGGAATCGGCGATTCGTCAAAGGGGTGGAAACATCCGGTCCAAACAGACAGCGAGAGGTGAAGAGGCCGCGATAATGGCGATTGGCGAAGAACCAGAAAACGGACGCGATTGAGTAATTTGACTTTCTTTCAAGGGGCAAATATGTAAATTAAGTTAAGCTTTTGGGGTGGGTGAGTTGAGACTTGACGGATTTGGGTCAATTTAAGAGATTGCTAATGTTTTTGAACCGAGTCGGACCGGTCTCCCGTCGGCCGAATGAAAACCCGATTCAATCTTTTTTTTGTTTTTATTCAATCTTTTTGTTTTGGTCACGTTGTTTCAATTATTTATGTTTCTTTCTTGAATCCTTTTTATTTTTAGGTTTGAATCTGTATTCTGGACGTTTAAATTTTTTTGTCACGTGAACACATCGATTATGGTGAATTGCTAACGAGTGTAAGACCATTGTAGAGTGAACTAAGCTAGGCTTATGTTGATATATGGTGAAAGATCCGCCCATCGCCTTGGATGTTGCCTCCATATCACAAGAACATATGCATTTACGAAGATCTCCGAGAGAATAAAAAAATGAGTTTATATTTTTAGAACTCTCTGATGTTCAAGCTAGAATATGTCAACATGATTTGAGGAAAAACAAGTATTATGTCCGGGATCTTGTGGCCGAGTGGTTATGAGAGGGATTTGTGGTGCCAACATGCTTGAGTTCGATCTACCTGCTATACGAAATATTTAACACATTGCCATTGGTTTCTAATCGGATATAACACATCTCATCAGTTTTCGCCAGCTACATTACCACATCTCAGCTCTTTCAGATCCCAAGAATCGAACTTGAGAATGGATCCTGAGACGCTCAGAAACAGAGCGGTTTCTGCGGGTGAGAGCGATATAATGAACCGAGATTCAAATGCGTCAAGAGAAGAAACCGACGCAGAGTCTCAAGGAAGAGAGCTTCAATAATACCAAGAATTGGAGAAGAGTTTTATGGAAATCAAGTGTTTACTTAATCACATTAGGAATGTTAATATCTCTGCTTATGGGTTTAAACATGTCGTGGACCGCAATTACCGCAGCTCTAACTCTTGTGGTTCTTGACTTCAAAGACGCAAGGCCGTGTTGTTTTCGTGTACACTATTGTCATGTGTTGTTTTCGTGTACACTGTTGCACACTGAAAAATTCAAGTCGTCACATTATTAAATCATTTGAAGATCAAAAAAGGGAAACCCTAATCGAACATACTATCCAGTTACTAAATCCGATCTCCATACATAAATAATATAGAACTCAAGAAGATGTTCATCATAAAAGTAGGTGTGTTCTTGAAATTAAAAAAAAAAGCACAAGTATTATCTATCAGTTAATAATAAACACATTTCCCGCTTGAAGTAGAACAAACCATTCACCACATGAAAACGCCTTAGAGAAGGACGAGAGCATATGCCCACGTGCTGCTATTCTTCTTCTTCACGTCCTCTGTTTCTTGTGCTTAACTTCTTCTTCTTCGCGTTCTCTGTCTTTTCTACGTTCTCTGTCTTCCCTACGTTCTCTGTCTCTAAAACTATCTAGCACTGCTTGGATGGCAGTGGCCTCCGCCTTACTAGAACGTAATTCACCGGCAGCAATAAATCCCTCAGGTTGGTAGTAATATTCCAAGTCCTGCTTGACAAGCAAAAGAAGAGAAACATGGGGGGGGGGGGGTCAAACTAAGGCAAAACATAATAACTATAACAAGTGAGAAAGGGAAACATATGTGGAATTAAAGAGGTTGTTGAATCAAATGGAGTCTATATATATATGGCTAGGACGCTTACTCCAAGTGCATGTTCTTACTGTTGAGATGCGTGGTGAAATTATCAAAGCCTTGGAAATCAAGACAGCATCCTAAGCAAGACCAGGGAGAATGCCAAAGTTTGCCACTGACAACAGATTCAACCGTTCCACTTCTCTTCTCCTCCTCCACATACTCCTCAAGTAGTGCCCCTGGATTTAAAGTTGCATCTGTGCGGATGCTTGAGAGTAAGCTATCCCAGAGGAAGCAGCCTCGAGACTTTGGGAAGATGGAGTTTTGGGAAGAGGGAGCTTGGGAAGACGAAGGAGAGTTCATCAGGTGTATCATCATCAGGTGGATGTCCTGAGCCAAGAATGTAGTGACGCTTCGATAGATCTTCAAGTAATCTACCGTATAAACGATCAAGTGATATGAGCATTATATTGGAGGATGGATTCCTCCCATCCCACGTGTGTAAATAAAACCACATGTGTGTGGTCCCTGTTGTTACAGAAGAAAAACCCAATAAAAAGAATCTCAAGTCAAGACACTCTCTATATATATATATATATAAGCAAATTAAAATAGAATCTAAACAGATAGAGAATTCATTACTTGTTGTGGGGATGTGACGGAGGTTGATCCCAGTGGAAGAGAGGGCTCGCAGGACGTGAGGAGGGACTTGTGAGAGTATGCCAAAGGCATAGATGGTGGTTGGACCAGAGAACCCTAATCTCTTCAACTCCATTCTTATAAACGGACCGACCCGACCAGCTTCAACGTCATGTGGAAGAGGACAATTTGTGATGTCCCACCACACCGATGTTACTGCCTTAGCCTGATTCTTCCCCGCTGGCTCAAGCTGCATCATTCCTTCCTTCAAAGACTAAGTTACTTTTAAAACCCTAAACTGTTGAGTAATGCCATTTTACTTTCAAACCGAACTAGTTGAAAGTCAAGGAGCTGTTAGAACAGTAAAAGGAAAAGAGTTGGTAAGCTATGTTATTTAGACTCTAAGTGAGGTTAGTGGGAACAGTTGAAGTAAGGTGTGTGTCAGGAACAGTTTTTCCTTGTCCCTTGTTTGTATAAGTTGGCGAGAAAGCAATGTAAAAGATGAATGGTTGTTTTTGTAAGAATGAGAATGGATGAGTTCTAAAAGCCTTTCTCTATATCGATTTCCTTTCACAGTCAAAATGTTCTTAAACAAACTTCAAAGACTCTGTTTTCAAAAGTAAATCAACATGGTATCAGAGCTCATGATGATTCATGAAGACTCTTTGAACAAGATGAAGACGACGAATCAAGAAGATACAACAAAGGAAAGAACAAGAACCAGAGAAACCGAAACAGAGGTTCAAAAACCTCACAAGAACAAGAACAAGATGGTGATCGAAGAAGAAGACACCAGGAACAGAAAAAGAAGAGTACAAGTGTCTGAGGAACATGATGAAAAGGAGAAGAATCACATATTCACTGCAAGACAAGAAGAAGGAGAACCAAGCAAAGAGAATGCTTGGCTCATAGACAGTGGTTGTACAAACCACATGACACCTAATAGGAACTTGTTTGTCAAACTCAACACAAACATTAAAGCTCCTATAAAGGTTGGAAATGGAGCTGTTGTAATGGCAGAAGGAAAAGGAAACATCGAAGTAACAACCAAGAAGGGAAAGAGGATCATAAAAGATGTCTTCCTTGTACCCAAACTTGGAAAGAATCTTCTAAGTGTTCCGCAGATGATCACAAATGGCTACAAGGTCACATTTCAAGGCAGCAAGTGCATCATTCACGACAGATTAGGAAGAAAAATCGGTGAAGTTCCTATGTTGAACAAAAGCTTCCACATTCAATGGCACTCAAATGAAGAAGAAGCAATGGTGGCTGTAGACAAAAGTGCAGAGCTGTGGCACAAAAGACTCGGACACACAGGATACACAAATCTGAAGATCATGCAATCAGAAGATATGGTGACCGGCTTACCTAAGTTTAAAACAACTCAAGATCGATGTGAAAGTTGCATTCTCAGCAAGCACAGCCGAGAATCCTTCCCAAAAGAGTCTGACTCAAGAGCAACTCAGAAGTTAGAACTAATTCATAGTGATCTGTGTGGACTTATGCAAAACACATCCTTCAGTGGTAGCAGGTATGTACTCACCTTCATAGATGATGCTACTAGAATGGTATGGGTTTACTTCTTAAAGGTCAAGTCAGATGTCTTTAAAACCTTCAAGAGATTCAAGAACCTGGTGGAAAATCAAGCAAACTGTAAAATCAAGAGACTAAGAACTGACAGAGGCTCAGAGTACCTATCCGGTGACTTCACAAAGTTTCTTGAAGAGAATGGAATAGAAAGGCAACTGACAGCGGCTTACTCACCACAGCAGAATGGAGTCTCTGAAAGAAGGAACATAAGTTTAATAGAGATGGCTAGAGCAATGGTCAAAGCTAAAGACTTACCTTTAAATTTTTGGGCAGAAGCGGTCTACAATGCAGCTTATGTTCAGAACAGAACACCAACAAGAGCTCTAAAAAGCAAAACTCCTCTTGAAGCATGGAATGGCACCAAACCAGGAGTAGGTCATATGAGAGTATTCGGTTGTCTCTGCTATGTTCATATCCCAGACGAGAAGAGGAGGAAGTGGGATGATAAATCTAGAAGAGGAATATTCGTCGGTTACAGCTCCCAAACTAAAGGATATCGAGTGTATCTCCTGGAAGAAAACAAAATAGACATCTCCAGAGATGTCATCTTTGACGAAGACAGCAAGTGAGACTGGAGCAACAAAGAAGTGGTAAAGGATCAAGCAGTACCTCTTGATTTGGAACAGATGATGAAGAATCTGAAACTGGAGAAGCAGGACCGAATAACCACAATGAACCTGTAAATGAAATCCCTGCTTCCACAAATGTGGATCTCTCAAGTCCAGGAGGAAGCTCAAGCCGTGTCAACAAAAGAACCAGATCACTTGCGGATATCCTTCTTACTGCCCCTTATGCAGACTTAGAATATTCTGCGGTGATGGAGGGATGCTACAGCAGCTTAGAAGAGCCAGCTATATTTGAAGAAGCTTTCAAACACGAAGAATGGAAGGAGGCAATGAAGGAAGAGATACAAATGATTGAAAAGAATGAGATTTGGGAACTCGTTGAAAGACCAATGGGGAAGAATGTAGTGGGAATGAAGTGGATATACAGACTAAAGACTGACGCTCAAGGGAATGTGGTGAAGCATAAGGCAAGGCTAGTTGCAAAGGGCTTCACTCAACAATATGGTGTTGACTATCATGAAACTTTTGCTCCTTTTTCAAGACATGAAACAATCAGACTTCTTCTTGCTGTAGCTGCTCAAAAGAGGTGGAAACTATTTCAACTTGACGTAAAGTCAGCTTTTCTAAATGGAAGATTAAATGAAGAGATATACGCTGAACAGCCTCTTGGTTTTGAAAGTAAAGGAAAAGAAGAACATGTGTTGCTGCTGCACAAAGCTCTCTACGGTTTAAAGCAAGCTCCTAGAGCTTGTTACAGCAGAATTGATGAGTTTTTCAAGAGAGAAAACTTCAGAAGAAGTGACAATGATCATGCCCTGTACACCAAAGAAGATAATGGAAAGCTACTGGTTGTGTGTATCTATGTAGATGACCTTATTGTCACAGGAGATGATGAAGGTATGGTGAATGAGTTCAAAGCTGTAATGAAGAACGAGTTTGAGATGTCAGATTTGGGGTTGTTGAACTATTTCTTTGGCATGGAAATTGTTCAAAGTCAGAAAGGTATATTCCTATCTCAAGAATGCTATGCCAAGAAGCTGTTAAAGAAGTTCAACATGGAGGATTGCAAGATCATGAGTACTCCTCTTATAATTCCACACTGGAACCAGAATGATGAAGAAGATCTTGCCAACATCAGTGTTTATAGAAGCTTAGTGGGAGGATTGCTGTATCTAACTGCAACAAGACCTGACCTGATGTTTGCTGCTTCATACTTATCCAGGTATTTAAAGGAACCAAAGGTTTCTCATCTCAAAGATGCTAAAAGAGTTCTGAGATACATCAAAGGTACAATCGATATGGGGTTAATGTTCAAAGCTGTAGGAGAATCAAAGTTGATTGGTCATTCAGATAGTGACTGGGGTGGATGCAAAGAGGATCTAAAATCTACAACCGGTTATTGTTTTAGCATGGGATCAGCTGTCTTTAGTTGGCAGACAAGCAAGCAAGACACTGTCGCTCAATCAACCGCCGAAGCAGAGTATATGGCTTTGTGTGCTGCTTCAAACCAAGCGACTTGGTTGAGACGACTGCTCGAAGATCTAAGGATTCATACTCCTGAAGGGGTACCCATCTACAGCGACAGCCAATCAGCAATAGCCATTGGAAAGAACCCTGTTCAGCATAGAAGGACTAAACACATCCAAATCAAATACCATGTGGTAAGAGATTATGAGAAGAATGGGGAAATCCAACTACAGTATTGCAAATGTGAAGAACAACTAGCTGATATATTAACCAAAGCATTGGGAGGGCAGAGTTTTGAAAGGTTTCGCATCAAGCTCGGTTTGATTGATAAAATGGCAAGTGGGAGTGTTGAGTAATGCCATTTTAATTTCAAACCGAACTAGTTGAAAGTCAAGAAGCTGTTAGAACAGTAAAAGGAAAAGAGTTGGTAAGCTATGTTATTTAGACTCTAAGTGAGGTTAGTGGGAACAGTTGAAGTAAGGTGTGTGTCAGGAACAGTTTTTCCTTGTCCCTTGTTTGTATAAGTTGGTGAGAAAGCAATGTAAAAGATGAATGGTTGTTTTTGTAAGAATGAGAATGGATGAGTTCTAAAAGCCTTTCTCTATATCGATTTCCTTTCACAGTCAAAATGTTCTTAAACAAACTTCAAAGACTCTGTTTTCAAAAGTAAATCAACATAAACACAAAGATTCAGTTCAATAAAACCAGTTAGTTAGCTCTTTATTAATCTAAGATGAAATAACGCACGAGAACAAAGACACTGCAAGTTTTTGGATCTCAATCATGATTGCTAACACAACAAAGCCACAAAACCAAAACCGCAGTTAGGTCTTGCGTTGCGGTGCAATTTCCATCATACTCTAATGTAAACCTAAAAACAAAAACAAAAATCAAAATCAAAATTTCAAAATTTGAGAAGCCAAATCGCAAGTTAGGTCTTTTAAGTTTTAATCTAAGAAGAACGGAAATCTTCGAGGTTAAAGCACCCACCTCGCTCGCTTGTGCTGTGAGAGGAACAGGTCCGTAATCGTTTCGATCCAATCTTTTAGGGCAATCAAAAACTTTTCAGATACTTGTGGTGGTGTGGGCGTGATTGCTACTTGCTTTTATAATGGGCTTCTAAGTTTTTCCCGGACTTTTCTATCGAATTGGATCATCGGGTAATTTCCTTATTTAGATTTGGAATTTGTATTTCTTCCGGAATTACACCAGAAACAAAATAGGAAAATTTTAGATAATTTGTTCTATTTTAGTATATTAAATAATTTAAAATTTAATTAAATAATTAAGCGTTGTGGATAAGAATATCTATTTCACTGTATACATTATTTCACTATATTATATGTATACATTATGTGTATGTAAGTTGTGAACACTGACCACAGAACTGATATAGAAGATATATACATATACAGAGCCGTGCTTGAAAATTTTCAGGCTATAAACGAGAAAAAAAATTGGTCGTTTTTATATTTTATTATAAAAATATTTTTTTTTATATAAAAATTGACCCCTTAAAAAACTAGTATAAACTCATTTGGGTAATTAATCATCTGCTCACACAACACATCACACAACACAAGCCCACAAGACCACTGAACTAACTCGTTTGTTTTGCAAAATTGGCCCCAAA